AGAGAGAGAGAGAGAGAGAGAGAGAGAGAGAGAGAGAGTAGGGAGAATAATGTGCTAATAAAATTCATGCATGGAGATTCATAACTGAGAAACAAAAGGAGAAAGGAAACAAATTCTAGGATGTGTCAATCATTACATGGAGAAGTCCTACAACAGATTTTTGAAAATGAAGCAAAACTAATAATCATAACTGTATTTCTTCCCTGTCTTGGATGTTATCGAGTTTCTTGTACTACCAAAAGCCTGCAATATCACACGGATGTCTTAATTAGTCTTTGCTTATCCCAAACAAGTCATTTAAATAGCCAAGTCACGAGGCAAAGTCAATACTAATTTTTGGAATATTACAAGTGCATGTGTGTGTTCTAAGGATAAGAAAGCACATAAAGAATACAACCTCAGTACGAAATAACTAACTGAAAAATTCAAAAGGTCTTTATCTTACGAACACAGCCTTATTCCATTTTGCTTCTTGCTCCCAAGCACATGAACTCAAATATTCAATTATACCATATTTAAGTACTTCAACAGTGAATCAAGAATTCAACCACCAAATTAAATTTTTACTTAAGATGGAAACACAACTTTATCAATGCAAACATACGCGCGCGCACACACACACACACAAAATTATGCGCACAAACATGTAAATATGTGGCACATTAACTAATGACCACTCATTTACGTTCATGCTTGTGGCAACATAAAAGTGATGATGTCAGGCCTATTCTAAAGGTCTAAAGGATATATGAATGGAAGATTTTTCTTGTACTCATACTTATTATATATGCATCTTCTCAATTTGAGTTCTATTTTAGCGCAAAAATATGGAAATAACATTAAGTGTCAGAACATTATTCTTCAAAGTACCTCCACGATAGAATGCTTTTCAACCAATAAATGGAACCGAAAAATGAGAGATATGCTTTGAGCTATAAAACATTTTCCAAATAAAGGGGTTCCATTTTAAATCTTGGGTCAGTGGCATCCTTCCAAATGCACAATGTTCAAGCATACAAAGGAGTGCTAACATCATTCGAAGATGTTCTGAAACCACGGCAGAGTAATGCAATTCTTTGCACCTTTATCAATTTCTTCACAGGATAACTCGAAATTATGACATACGAACGCTTCTTTGGCATCACTAGAGATTAACGTTACCAAAATAGTTTCTTTAGCAAAATGCTTGTAAATGTCTGATAAATAACTGAATCTGAT